GTTTAAAAATTAAAAAAAAAAAAAAGGGGGGGGGTGGCTGGGTTATTCAATGGCTTGTTTCCCAAACCTGATGAACTGAGTTCCACCCCTGAATTCCATGGTGGAAGGAGAGAATGGATTCTGGAAAGTTGTCCTCTGACCTCCACACTGCACTGTATATACACCCTTGCACACCCATATACAATAAAAGTAGAGAAGGACATAGCTTTTGTCTGATCCATTCTCACAATTGCACTTCAAAGAAGAGTGTAAGGGTCATAGCCCAAGGTCAGAGCCCTCCACACACCCACTGTCCACAACAGGGCAGAGGCCAGAGCATCCTTCCTCCACACAGCGCACTCTCTCAAGTATTGAGACCCTGTTGCATTGTGACCCTGTTGCTGAGCTGTGGGTTATTCTGTTAGAGCAAGTTTTCATTTTTCTTGTTTTTGACTAAATTTTATCTAAAGATATGAAAGACCTCGTGTTGCCTACCACAGAAGGTGGCGTCTTCTCTCACCACACTCTATTAATCACCCTTACCACTTTTCTTTCTGAAATGAAAAAGCAGAAAGGACAAAATCGGGTGCATTCAGGGTGGTATGGCCGTAGACAAAGTACTACCTAGCAGCTGACCACTGCTAGTGTCAGCTGATCACTGCTAGTGATGATGTTCTTTAAGGGAGTGATGCTAGACAGGCTGCACAGGTTCTACTGGATGAACTCACACTGAGAGACATCTGCGTACACAAACTTGATTCAACAGGCCTTCACATATAGACAGAGTGCATGAAATCCAGTGGGGAGGCTATGGGAGGCGGTTACAGATAGAGGACGGGTCTAAATAGGGTTAAAATGTATTATATGAAATGCCCAAAAATTCAATAAAAATAAAATATATACATTGAAATATCTTTACTATCTCAAAAAAAAAAAAAAAACCCAAAAGAGAAAGAAAAACATGATAACTGTGTTTTTTCTTTTGGAAACAGGGTCTATGTCACCCTGGCTGGCCTGGAACTAAGTAGACCAGGCTGCGTGGCACTCATAGAGATCCGCCTGCCTCTGTCTTCCAAATGCTGGGATTAAAGTAGGTACCCCCTGCCCAGCCTATGAAAACTGTTTGGAAGAAACAGTTTAAGTTATCAAATCTGGATTACAGGAGAGAATGACTGCGCCCAACTCTTCTAGGAACCATTCATTGACAGACATTTTTTTTTTTCACACTGGATCACCGATAGTTATCATCTCAATATATACTAAGAATTCTAAAAAAGTTTTTATTCTTAAATTTTTTAATAGTTGCAAAATAGCGTATTGGAAGGATGCTCTCAGTTACTTAAATTTGTAATTGTTTGAGAGTCCTGAAATACTACATTGAATACTTTTTGATGCACATCTTATCTTCCTTATTTGAATTTTTCCATAGGATAAATTTCCATTAGAGATATTGGGGTAATATTTGCTGAAATATGTCCTCCCCCCGATTTCACATTAAGTCCTACCCACACCCATACCACCCCAGGAGCTCAGTGACTAGGGTTAGAGGTGATAAAGGTTAAAGGATTAGGTAAAGCAGCAGGATGGGCTTTGGTTCACTACAGTTGGTATCTTCCTAAGAACTGAAGACAGGATACATACAAGCTGAGAGGTGAGGACACAGGGAGAGGACAGCCACCTCTAGACAGAAGAGAGAAGCCTCAGAGGAAACCAATCCAGCCAATCCATACCTTGATATCAGACTTCTGGTCCCTAGAACTGTGAGAAAACAAAGTTCTGCTGTTTATACCATCCAGCCCAGGACTCTGTTATGCTTGCCCCAGCACATGACTGC